TTGTCATTTCCTCCATTAATTTGCCCATCTGGTCTGTCAATTGACCAACCTGACGACGCAAATTATTTCCCCCATTGCCGTTTTGTCTTTGCCCATTAGAATTTGGCTGGGATGGCTGAGACTGTTGGGAGTTATTGGAAGCAGATTGGTTGTTTCTGTTTCCATATCTCCTATTTCCCTGAGGGTTCCTTCTCCATTGGGAATTGCCTTGGTTTTTATTAACCCAAGGGCGTTTATTCCCATTGGCATTGGATTTTTCAGAGTTATTAGAGGAATTTGCAGAATTGCTTCTGGCGTTTTCCTGTTTCTGAGGTTTTGGAGATTTCAAAACCTCGGAATAGGTCCTCTTTTTCTGTTGGGTTTCTAAACCTAACTGAATTTTAGTCTCTGACACCATTTTATCACCAGGTTTCTTAACCTTTGGCTGATTTTCGTCATGTGCATGGTGTATAGTATACAATTTCATGCACTGACTGACTAGCCATTCTAATGGTAACTTACAATCGTAATCTCTTGCGAGATTCATTTGTATGTTTACCGGCATGGCATGAAAATACAGATCTTTGAAGTCTGTGCTTTCATACCTGGGTTTTCTTTGGGCCACGGAGTATGCATTTTTAAGAATTATTAAAAATTCTCTGGGGCTTTGATCTGGACGGCACTTTAAGTTATAAAGCGCCTTCTTTGCAGAGGCAATGGTTTTATACTTACCATATTCCATGATTATTTCATATTTCATCTTGGACCAGGACATTAACTGTATAGCTTGAAGACTTTCTAGATAAACACGGCACATTGAATCAAAGGTCCATGTAATGAACCATTTCTTATGAATGTCATCATACATGCCCAATGAATTCATTGCTCTATCATAATTTTCCAGATGTTCAGATATGTTTCCTGAACCTCTAGAAAATTGTGGGACAGTCTCTCTAAGGAATTTGATGACCTTTGGTGTTTCATAAACAGGCGTCGTTGATTTACGATCTCTGTTTCTGTGTTTGGGTAAACGTCTATGCGATCTGTCTGCTGAAGAGGAATTAGACCCATACAACAGCGCAGATGGCATATCAGTTACATGGCCTTCAGAGTGGATAGTGCAATCACTTTCACTCCCATCACTCTGAGCTTCTTGTTCACTGTCACAATTCTGATCTGCATCAGAATCCTGCCAGTGTACAGAACCATGTCTGTTTTCATTCCTATCACCTTGAATTGGACTCTCCCTCTCAAGTTTGGCCAAGACAGTCTTTTCAAACTGTTCTGCCCATGATTGCCAAGAACCTACAGGTGTTTTCTCAGAATTACTCACCTCTTTACTTACAGACTGTTTTATGAAAACCTGGTTTGGTGTGGGAAAATCATAATAAGGAGGGGATTTACAGATAGTCTTTTCTTGCATTTTTGTGCAACTTTTTGGCACAGAATGATGACTACCAACCTCACTGTCTAATTTCTGACTCTCCTTTTCATACTCATCCAATTGCATTTTAAGCTGATTTATTTCCTGTGCATATTTATCCATCAAAGCTTTCATTTCTTTTTCATGATCAGCCTGACGAGTTTTATGCTCAGCAAGTAAATCTTGGTATTTCCCATTTTGAATGCCCAAATCGTCACTGTACGTGTCCAATTTGGCATTCAATGACTTGTTTTCATCACACACCTTAAGAAGTGCTGTCATAAAGAAAGGCCAAGAGTGTATTATGAACGCCATTTTCCTTTCTATGTTCTTTTGTTCAGCAATTTCTTTAAGATATATGATGATGTGTTCATCAGTTAGAATGGTGTGTTTAGCTTCCCATTCTATGCTTTTCAACCAAACCTCATAGGTTGCATCATTTTTCATATGTTTATGAATATGAACTAGAGCATGTTTTCTTAGGTCTTCAATTATTTCAGTATTATCTGTTACAGATTTATCACTGCCACTGGCCATTTTTATTTTTATTTTATTGATTAATCTCAATACAAAACTCTTTTCTATATTAAGATTAAATTGCATGAATTACACCAATATTATTATTATATATGAAATACAATGTCAACTTAAACGATCTCAGCACCGTGCCTCCAATATGTGGGATATTTATGGGATAATAATAGTAACAGTTGAGAATTGCCCACTATTTCAATTCTCAGATCCCAAAGAACGTTTATCGTGTTAAGTGGAATGTATTTCATATAATAATATCACAATGTATAAAAATAGATTTTATTTATGATAACCAATAATTAACAAATAATATTATGTAACATGCATGACAATAATCAATGAATATTCAGTATAAAACGATATGCAATACAAAGAAATGGGTATTACGTTTCAATGGCTTAACGGCATTATCTGTCAAGAATTCTACGATTTATGATTAGCTTTCACAGACTGAAAGTTAAACTTTTCACAGAAGAACAGAATTCCTCAGAGTGCAGCGTAAGGTCGTAAAGTTTAGCAGACAGTTAGAATAACCCTTTCAATGCTGGCTAGATCTCCTAGGTAGTTAAGATCTATTCTTATGTATTTTTAAATAAAATAACATTTAAACCAGTTCATTAGCCATTTCCTGAAAACAATCCAATAAGAGAATCTACATATATAAGCAGATTTTTAATTTGTCTAAAAGATATCTATCTTAATTTAGAGCAAATCAATACACCTGGATAAAAACAGCGGTATGCTAACACGTGATAATATCACATCAATATATAATTATTCTTAATTCCACCTGCAGAATGGAATGTTTATAACTATATATTCTTAGTTAACTAAGATTTCTTAATATGGAAATCTGACCGTGCTTTATCCAGTCATATATAATGCTATTAATACATTTTAATTAATTTAATTTAATTAAATGAAACCAGTATAATTACCAGTTGAGTAGATATTTCATCCGATTGGTAGTCTCTCTGCATGGAGGTGTTGGTTAGAAAGTCAGTAAATTCTAAGTGTTAGAGTTTTAGGAGTAGAGTGTTAGTCTCAGATGTTGTCCGAGTTGGAATCCCCAAACTTCCAATTCCTCTCTTTTCTCTTTTGCATATCTTGCATCTGCCTCCTCTCCTGTCTTGTATCTCTTTCTATCTTCCCTTTGTCTTAACTTTTAAAGGGCCAGACTCTCTGTACGTCATCAGTTGATAACCCAATAGAAGCACTAGAGGTGTGGTTATCTTCCAGATCGCAAATTAGTTATTTGGTCTGTAGAGGGCAGTCTTGTCCCACTAAACATACCTATCCAGGAAAGAGTTAACTTTTCCTGGTGGCTATTTTGACGTCATTTTGCGTTATCTTTATAGCGCCATAATTTAAAATTTCAAAGGGTTTCTTAAATTTTGTCCAGACTTAGCGTCTGCAATTCCTGCCATAATTTCTGATATGACAGATCATGAACTAAGTTTACCCTTTTCCATACAATGGTACCTTATATGTATAGACAGTAAAATTAAATTATTTAATCTTCTCTGTCACAATTGTCTGGGTTTAGATTTGATTATATTCTTTTAGCATTAGACAGTCTGTCCAACCCCCTTCCTTATCACTTGGCTTGTATATACTATGCATTCCTGAGCTCTGGGAAAGTGGTTAGCTTACAGATAGAAATATAGTGTCTTTCTGTTAACTTGAAATAACAAAATGGAGTCTGATCTGTTCAGAGTGACTCAGAATATACACTTTTAGTTTCTATCATAGCACAAAATGTCTGCCGATATAAATACCCTGACAAAGCACCAGGCCCAGATGGGCTAACAAACTGCTACTATCATAAATTTGGTGATACCCTGGCCCCACAACTCACCAAACTCTTCAACCATATAAAAGACACAGGAGAAATCCCACCAGAAATGCTAGAAGCCCACATAGTAACTCTCCCTAAACCCAACAAAACGCCTACAATGTGTGCCAACCTCAGACCCATCTCTCTACTGAATGCCGATACAAAACTCTATGCTAAGTTGTTGGCGAATAGAATGAAACCACTCCTATCCAAGCTAGTTTCGAGGGAACAAGCAGGGTTCGTGCCCGGTAGACACTAGACATTTTATCAACCTAGTTGAATGGGCACACTCATCAAATCAGCAAGGCGTCCTCTTGGCACTCGACGCAGAAAAAGCGTTCGACCGCCTAAATTGGAAATACATGAGGAAAACTCTTGAAGGATTTCCCCGGCCCTTTATAACTAGTATCCTAGCCTTATACAGCTGCCCTTCGGCAAGAGTCCATAATACGGGCTTCCTTTCCAAACCCTTCCACATTCGTAATGGCACACGCCAGGTATGCCCATTGTCCCCACTCATTTTCATTCTGTGCCTAGAGCCCCTCATTTATCACATTAAACGTGACCCACTAATCCCAGGACTAAACACCCCTGTGGGTGAACAAAAACTAGCCCTATTCGCAGACGACATTCTAGTATTCCTGACAGACCCGATACACTCTATCCCAGTCCTTCTACAAACGCTGAACAAGTATGGCTCAGTGTCGTACTACAAAAACAATACAGCTAAAACCCAAGCTCTTCCCATCCGACTACCAAAGATCACGATTAAAAAAATTAGAGGAAACACATACATTCGAATGGCGATCTAAATCTATCCAATACTTAGGTATCAAACTAACAAAATCAATAAACTCACTAACTACCGAAAACCATACACCTATGCTTCACAAACTCACAGCCCAAATGAGCCAATGGGAAGAGTTGGAAGTATCATGGCTGGGACGCATCAACTCCATTAAAATGATGATTCTCCCCCACATGCTCTATCTCTTCCGAACACTCCCCATTCCACTACCGACCAAATTACTAAAAAGATTCCAGAATATCATTAACGCCCACATATGGAAACGGAAGCCTCCCAGAATGGCCACCGCCAAACTTAGCCTACCATTTGCGAAAGGCGGCTTAGGTGCTCCGGACATCCGCAATTACTACCAAGCATCTTTATTAGCACAGGGACTAAGATTACTTAGAACCCCAGACGCAGAACGAACCCCTCTATGGCTGGCTCTCGAGGATGCCTGCATGCACCCAGCCACTCTGACTAATGCCCTCTGGACCCCCGAACCAACACCCATAGGGCGCACCACACTATGGTGCACAAAAACCACTTTAAACACTTGGAAACAATGGGCCTCAGTGGTCTTAGACACACAGACACTGTTCAAGGAAGCACCACTCACGACACTGCAGGCCAGTTCACCCGACCTCCCCCTACAAACATGGTCGACCCTAGGGATCCGTACAATCCAGGACCTATATCACCAAAACATGCTGAAAACGTTTCCCTCCCTACAAAGTGAATTCTCCCTGAGCCCCAGAGACTTATTCAAATATCTAAGGGTCAAGCACATACTGCAATCTCGCACTAAGCCGACAACACCCGCAAAACGACCAGACACTCCATCTGCCCGGTACATTTTGACATCCCGCTATGTCAAACCCCTAGCCCTTTGCTATAATGCACTGGAACGAGAGAAATCTGAACACAAACTTCCTTACATGGAAAAATGGGAAGGAGATCTAGGGAAAACACTCACATTAAAACAATGGCATGAGGCCTTTTACTTAACAAAACGGGCATCTAAAAGCCTGTCTCTCTGGGAAGCATTCTGCAAGATAGCAATGCGCTGGTATCTAGTTCCCTCACGACTAGCAAGAATGTATCCCAACTCCTCCCCGCTGTGCTGGAGATGCAACCGCACGGCAGGGTCGTTACTTCACATATTCTGGGACTGTCAGATCATAACTCCGTTCTGGACCTCGGTCCAAACACTCATACGCGAAACAACTAACCTAGCTATACCATTAGACCCTATACACTACCTGTTGCATATGCTTCCCACGAGCAACTCAGTAAGACCCCCAGCGACCATGACTGCATTAAACATATTAACTATAGCCAAGATTGCGATAGCCTCTCAATGGAAGGCCATAACACCACCAACAATTGAGGAGGTAACAAAGAGAATGGATAACGTTTGCTTGTACGAGAGAATGGCACACAACTTACTAGGAACACCGGAAAAACATGGTATCCAATATCCGAACATTGGACGACGCAGATGACTGAGGCACTATGACACGATGACACGATGACACACGCCCCAGAGAAATAATAGGAGGGTTATACCAGTTATACTAGCTATAATACTTATACTACATCCTACATGTCACAAACCTTGCCACTAACCATACACACCGCAAGGTCCGATAGCAGTACCAAACAGAGAAATTTCAGGTACACGGTTATATTAGTAGAGTTACTGTTGAATGTTACCCTTCCCTTAACCCTTTGTTCTCTTCCATTGAACCCGGTTGCATGACGAGATAGAGAATTGAGCCACTGCGGACATCAACAACAGTTAGCACAAATGTCTATAGCTCTAGCCAAAAACAAACACCTCAAACGAGCTGTCACACAAACGGAGTTATAACATAACATCGATGATGCATATGTGTTGTTGTCGATACTAGCGTCACTACACGTATCATCATGTTATATGAACTTCTGTGTATAAGCCAATGAGGCCACATTTGATCGATGAGCTGCTACGTCAGCGATAGTGTATTGTATTGTATTGCAGTAATGTTACTGTTAGTAATGTATTAATATTAATGTTGGCATTGTATTACTATCATTGTCATTGTAATATTATCATAGTATCATTTAACTACTGTATTACTCTATCACTGTATTTGTACCAATACTGTAAATGTATTATTATATCACGGTACCATGCACTGGAGTACTACTAAAACCAATAAAAAAGAAATATGGAAAAAAAAAGAATGGAGGGAGGGGTGTCAGTGTATTAGACTGGGGGGAGGGGGCAGCCTATTAGATAGGGTCTGCATGGAGGCACTGAATGCTCCCCATGGAAATGCTGATTGGCCCCGGAGCTTTTTGCCACACATGCACAATAGCCACCCAATGCTTTCCTATGGGAAATCATTGGATTGGCTGAGATCATCAAGATGATCTCAGCCAAAGTAAAGAACACACTCATAGGACTTCAAAATCAAAAGATCATAATGTGTCAAGGTAGTTGGACTGAAACATTGGTTATATGCAAATAGATATCTCCTTAAAGAGACACTCCAGGCACCCAGACTACTTCTGCCCATTGGAGTGGTCTGGGTGCCAACTGCCACTACCCTTAACCCTGCAACTGTAAATATTGCAGTTTTCATAAACTGCAATATTTACATTACAGGGTTAACTCCTCCTCTAGTGGCTGTCTGTTTTGTTTATTATTGTTTAAAGCAGCTGTTTTTCCTATCAAATAAAAAAAGGAAAACCGAACTGAATGTGTCCTGGACTTTGTATACCCTCAGGGCCGGCGCTACCATTGAGGCGAATTAGGCATTCGCCTGGGGCGCCGACCTGAAGGGGGCGCCCACCTGGAGGTTTCTGGGTGGGCTGCTCCTGTGGGTGGGCAGCGGGATTCTCTTGCCTGGGGTCGGAGCGTTGGGTAAGTGGCTGTTTAGCCAAACCCCAGCGCAGCCATATCCTGTGCTCCCTCTGCCTCCCTGATGCTGCAGAGCCGATCATCTGCTCAGGGAGAGGGGATCTGTTGAACCCCCAGCACCCGAGCAGAACACTGTGCTTCCTGCAGGCAGGGGAAGCCGGGATGTGACTTGGTTTCCCGGCTGCCCCCTGCCTGTGAACACAGGAAGCACAGTGAAGGGAGCAGGAAGCAGCCTGTGCTCGCTGTGCACGGCTCTCCTGCTCCACCAGGAACCAGGGCAGATAACTGCAGGCTGAAAGATGGTCCCCTTCTCCTCCAGTCACATCACTAGCACAGGTATGGCATCACTGGAGGATAAGGGGAGATGGTTATTATTGTGTGTATGTTTGAACATTGGTGTGTTAAGTTTGTTTGTGGGTGTGTGTTTTAATAAACTGACTATATGTAAACTGGTGTGAGTGACATTGTGTGTGTGTATTTCAGTGAGAGTGTGTGTGTGTTAGTGAGAATGTGACATAGTGTTTGTTTGTGTGTATGTGTGTGTTTGTCAGTAAGAGTGTGTGTGTGTGTGTGTGTGTGTGTGAGATGGTGTAAGTGACGTGTGTGTGTGTGTGTGCCAATGAGTGTGTGACCAGTTATATTTCTAATACATTAATATAATTATATATATTATATTTTAAAAAAACATTTTACTTACAGTGTGCCTTTCAGACAAGTTCCCTGTCGCACACATTAAATACCACCATTATCATAAACTAAATGCACAATAGTATAAGTTAAATCCCACCAAATTAATTGAATAAATTTGTTATAACAACCATAAATGTATACAATGTAAAATGTATATGTATTAGGCAGTATGTGCGCATGGATGTATGTGTTGGGCAGTATGTGCGTATGGATGTATGTGTTGGGCAGTATGTGTGCATGGATGTGTGTGTTGGGCAGTATGTGCGCATGGATGTATGTGTTGGGCAGTATGTGCGCATGGATGTATGTGTTGGGCAGTATGTGCGCATGGATGTATGTGTTGGCAGTATGTGCGCATGGATGTATGTGTTGGGCAGTATGTGCGCATGGATGTATGTGTTGGGCAGTATGTGCGCATGGATGTATGTGTTGGGCAGTATGTGCGCATGGATGTATGTGTTGGGCAGTATGTACGTATGGATGTATGTGTTGGGCAGTATGTGCATATGGATGAATGTATTAGGCAGTGTGTGTATAATGACCAGTGAGTGTGTATGGTTGAATGTATATATTAGGCAGCGTGCGTGTATGGTTGTATGTATTGGCAGTCTGTGTGTGTATGGATGGATGTATTGGCAGGGTGTGTGTGTATGGATGTATGTATGTATTGGCAGTGTATGTGTGTGTATGGATGTATGTATGTATTGGCAGTGTATGTGTGTGTATGGATGTATGTATGTATTGGCAGTGTGTGTGTGTTCATATTGGACAGTTTCTTTTTCCCCCCTTAAATGTCTGCTCACTGTTTCTCTCCTAAAATGTCTCCTAGTCTGTATCAGTTTCCTAAAAACCTCAACAATCTCTCTATCCCTTTACTAATTGCCTTCCCGGTCTGTTCCCTTTCCCTAAATTTATCACTGGTCTCTCTGCTTTCCCTTATGAGTCTATTCACTAAACAGTGATTTGAAAAAGTTGAGATGACTTTATACAACTCTTCTGTTTTGTCCTAAATGTTTCAAGTTATATTTCAACTCACTGTTTAATGAACAGACAGGGAAAAGAAAAGAAGAGAAATTGACAGAAGATAATTACCGGGTTCTTCACTAAAGTAAGAATTGTAAGTGTAAGGGCAGAGTAGCCAAATCTGGAGAATGTTAACGGGTGTTTTGACCATAAATTAGAAGTTCAATTCGAATTCCCAACAATTCTCACTTTATTGAATAACCCTATTGGAATAAAGAGAAACAGGCTGGAGAGAATCAGTTGCATAGAGTGAGCAGATAAATCATGAACATAGAGACCGCAAGCTTTGGGAAACAGAAACAAAGGTGAAAACTTAGGATAAACGCTAATGAGAGAGTTTGGGCACTATGGAGAAAAGGGACAGCTGATCAGACCTAATTAAAAACCAAATGGCAAAATTTATACCATTTAGAAGAATTCGCCAACTCCGCTACAGTCACAGTTCAGCTGTTTTTGCTTAAACTATGCAATTCGATTTCCAATTCACTGAATTCATAGTTTGGTGAATAAACTTCTGAGAGAGTGTAGTTGCATTCAAGAGGGGGCGGCAAAATGGATCTTTGCCTAGGGCGGCAAGAATCCTTGCACCGGCCCTGTATACCCTAGAAGGCTGTGGTTTATTGTAAGTTCTGTGACAAAATCCTACCTGTAAAAGAGGTGGTTTGTTACAAGCCCTACGAGCGTGAGGACGTCCAGTGTCAGTTAGGTTTGTTTTTTATACTGTACTTTTACTGTACTTTTAAAAATAAACCTATGTTTATATGAAAACTGAAGTTTTTTGGTTTTTTTGCGGCCCACATAAACTTAAAACTTGTTCATTTGACCCATGTTGTCCTTTGAGTTTGACATGCTTGCTCTAGACCAAAAAAGTAGGAGAATTTCACCGACAATTTGAAATTTAGTGGTGAATTTCCAATAATTCCTGGATTTATTTACTGAATTTCAGTGAACTGGAAACAGAATTACAAAATGTAGGCAAAAAAAAGAACTTATTTAGAAAAAGCCCCTTACTCAGGTACAGTTACAGCTTGGCCATGTAACTGAAATTTAGTTTTCTACCCAATTACAATTTGGTGTAAAGTGAACAACTCCCTGAAAATGATATTGACAAAGAAATTACAATATTTGGGCCAAAATAGTCCAATATTTGTAAATGTATTCATTAGCTGTATACTTTAGATATAGATGGTCACATTTATGTATATAGATACTGGACTATCACATCTATATGAGCTTGCTTGACATAACAAAATTATGAAACTTAAAGTGACACTGTAGGCACCCAGACCACTTCATCTCATTGAAGTGGTCTGGGTGCAGTGTCCCTTTTGCACCTACAGAGAACTGCAATGTTTACAGTGCAGCACTAAGTCTGCGTCAGTGGCTGGGATAAGGTGAGTGAATAAAGGGTTTTTAACCATTTACCGGGAGGGAGAGTGCGAGGGAGGGGGGAGGCAGAGGGATTGGTAGTGCCTGGAATACAGCTCTGTATTCCTGGCACTACAGTATCCCTTTTATACAGAGTTACTCCTCTCCTCCCTCACCTTATTTATAACAGTCTCCACTCTTCTGGATAGGTTTTCCACAAGATTGTGGTTTGTGTCTGTGAGAATTTATGCCCATTCAGCCAAAAGAACATTTGTGAAGCCAGGCACACTGATGTCGGACGAGGACTGGCTTTAATTGGCATTCCAAATCATTTCAAAAGGTTTTCAGAGGAGTTTAGGTCAGGGCCCTGTTTTTCTACACCACACTTATCAAACCATGTCTTCATAGACTTCAGTTTGTGCAGAGGGGCAGAGTTTTACTTGGAAAAAATAATACCTTAACCAAACAGTTGCTGTCATTTTCAAAGCACTCAATTGTTTAAAATGTCCTCGTATCCTATAGCATTAAGATGGTCTTTTACTGGAAGTAAGGGGCCTAGCCCAAACCCTAAAAAACTGCCGCAGACCATTATCCTTCTTCTGCCATTCATTAAAGTAGGCACTATGCATTCTGGTAGGTAACGTTATCATGATATTCACCACACCCAGAGTCATCCACCAGACTGTCAGTTAGTGAAGCTTGCTTTATTCCAAATGTCATAGAAGGGATGAAGAGTAAGGAAAATTGTGAAAACTGTCCAAAGTAGAAGCAGAGAGCCCAATGCCAGAGCCACAGCAGCACCAGAACTGGTCGATACTCACTTAGCAGGTGCCATAGAACTAAAAGCTAAAGTAGGTTTTAGATCTGCCATGGCATTCGTTGATTACTACTCAGGAGCAGTATTTGTATACTTCTTGAGAAGCAAAAGTGATACAGTGGTAGTCACTAAAAAAATAATTACTGAAACAGCCCCACATGGAAACATAAAATGTATCTGACATTGATACAGAGTTCATGGCTGAAAATTTTAGGTCACTACTAAATGAGCACTGTATTAGATATGAGACCCTGGCATCTTACTCACCGCATCAAAATGGTACTGAAACTAGAGAATTCTATTTCAAATGGCCAAATGGCAATAAGTCTGTTAATCAAAAATAAATTGTCAATGGAACTATCGGCATACGCAGTAATGCCTACTGCTTATATCCAAAACAGGTGCTTTAACAACTGCCTAGAAGTAACTTCATATTATTGAGTGCTGTGTGGAGGCTTTGTCGATTTAGGACATTTTGTGCCTATTGATCCAACTGGCACCTAATGTTGGTTAGATATACCCCAGCACTACCCCCACCCTACTTTTCCCATAGTCCTGGTTACTGTTGTAACGTTTGTCCCTAGAACGAATAAAGGTAGGGACTCCTTTCCCCTCTGTATTGACGGAGCTTCAATTCAGGATCTCTTTAATTTAGGAGACTAATTTTTGTTTGTACTTATTTTAAGGGTTTTCTCCTTTCTTGAAGCTCGGTTTTAAGTCTTTTAAGGTTGTCATGAGCCCTTGATGTTTATTGGGACTCTTGACTTGTACTTTTTATTGCTTTTTTGATTTTGTTATCTAGCATATAGGTATTTGACCCAGTATTTAAAAATGCAAATACAAAGTAAAATCAGCTGCTCCTATCCAGGGCCAGATTAACATAGGGGCTGATGGAGCTGCAGCTCCAGGCCCAGGCCCAGGCCCACGCCCTTGGAATAGGCCCAATGATTTAAAAAAAATAAAAAAAATAATTTTATTTTATTTATTTTTTTAAATTTTCACACACTACTCTTAGGGATTCCACCTGGCTTTTATTTTATTGGCACAGCCAGTATTTGAGGCTGCCTGGCTGGTGCCAATATTGCAGTGATACTGGCAATATAAATGCTGGTATTTTTCTCAGTATAAATGGAAATTACTATGCAATACCAGCACTGGCCAGTAGTGGAGACAGGCAGGGATAGGAAGTTCCAGCATATCCCTCCCTGCCTATCTATACTCACTGATCTGCAGGGGTGCAGCTACAGAGAGTCCAGACAGCAACTCCCACCCTGCAGAGACGGCCTACAGCTCAGGGAAGTAAGGGATGAGGGGAAAGGCAGCAGGGAGACATGGGGACACTGAGACACTAAGGGACATTGGGAGACATTATGACACAGACACATGGGGACACAGTGTCCCCATGTCTCCCAGCCAGTGTCCCTGGTGTCTCAGTGCCCCTAGTCTCCCAGTGACCCCTAGTCTCCCAGTGCCCCCAGTCTGCCAGTGTCTCACTGTCCCCATGTCTCCTAGTGCCTCGATGTCTCTCAGTGCCTCAAGTGTCACAATGTCCCCAAGCTAGTGTCTGTGGCCCTGGTGTCTCAGTGTCCCCATGTCTCCCAGTGCCCCCATGTCTCAATGTCCCCATGTCCCCCAGCCAGTGTCTCTAGTATCTTTGTCCCTGGTGTCTGTGTCCCCATGTCTTCAAGTGTCCTCTATTTTCCCATTGTCCCCATGTGTCCCAGCCAGAGTCCCCTAGTCTCCCAGTGTCACTGGTGACTCCGTGTCCCTAGGTCTCCCCGTCTTCCTAGTGTCCTAGTGACATGGGGACCCTGGGATACATGGGGACACAGGGAGACATAGGGCATTGAGACACTGATACATAGGATCACTGGGAGACCTGGGGACACGACACTAAGGGACACTGGGAGGCATGGGGCACTGAGACACTGATACATAGGAACACTGAGACCTGGAGTAATCGACACATGGGGGCACTGAGTCATGAGGGCACTGAGAGACATGGGGGCACTGGGAGGAATCCATCTTTACAGCAGATTTAAACTAAGTAGTTTTTTGGCGATTTTACAGCATTTTCTCTTATGTCACTCCTTGTGATTTACATCATGTGATGTCACCCACACATAAATTAGTAAGGCCGGTATGTTTTTCCAAGAAAGGTGGCAACCCTAACTACTTTTCACATACTCTTACTTAAGTATGGAAACTTAAGAGGGATGTAAACTTGTGTGGACTGGCTGACAATGAATATAGTTAAAGGGACACTATAGTCACCAGAACAACTACAGCTTATTGAATTTGTTCTGGTGAGTAGAATCATTACCATCAGGCTTTTTGCTGTAAGCATGGTCTTTTCAGAGAAAATGCTGTGTTTACATTACATCCTAGTGATAACTTCACTGGCCACTCCTTAGATAGCTGTTAGAGATCCTTCCTGGGTCATGGCAGCCTAAAATGCATCCAAACATTCAGTGTCTCCTCCCTCTGCATGCAGACACTGAACTATCCTCATAGAGATTCATTAATAAAATTCATCTATATAAGGAAATGCTGATTGGCCAGGGCTGTGTTTGAATCATGCTGGCTCTGACCCTGATCTGCCTCTTTGTCAGTCTCAGCCAATCCTATGGGGAAGCACTGTGATTGGATCAGGCCACCACTTCTAATGATGTCAGCAGGCTGCTTGTTTTTATGAGTCTAAGTCATGCAGAGTTACAGCTTCAGGCTTGAATATAGTAGGATTTTGCTATATTTATGGAGGCATGAGGGGCCCAGGGGGACTAGATGGTGGTGTTAACACTATAGGGTCATGAATTCATGCTTGTGGTAATGCTGACTTTGGTCTCTCTAACACTGTGGCATGTTCCCTTTCTTCTACACTCACTACATACAGCTTTTCTCTGCCCCAGACCATATACCAGGAGCTTCTGCCTGCTAGTAAGAAGGTAAGGAGACAAGTGGACCAGCGAGTGCTAGGGGACAGTCCTTAGGAAGCGTTGAGTGAGCGCATCATTAGATGCATTTATGCCAAGCTCAGGGTGCTGTCTGCATAGTATGCCCTTAGTTGACCAGCTGCATGATTGGCAGGCAGCCTGACATGCATTCATGCCAGGCTGGCCTTCTAATTTTTTGAGCAGACATGTCCTCTTTTTGGGCATGTTTGCCCCTTTTGGCAGGTTATGTGATTTGTGTCAGTGGCACACCCTTTTACCATGCCCATTGACTTCCTGCTTGACTGGACACTGCTGTTAGGGGTTATGGATTTACTTGAAAGATGAAAACATAAATTAGAGAGAGATTAGCCTAGGGTATGTATTTTCTTATAGCTGCTGTTTTCTATCTCTCCAGCACCATCTCCATCAGAAACATGACGCTTGGGAGTGTTTTACTGTTTTTGGTCGATATGATTCTGTAATTAGGCCCGTCATAATTGTCAGCACCAGGCCCACTGGGCTCTTAATCTGGCCCTGCTCCTATTGATCAGTAACATTATTTCTGTTTCTTTGTTTTTTCCGAAATTCATACTACAGCCATTTTACAAACTTTTTTCCTTGACTGTGATAACATATGTAGCATTCACCGATACACAATAGACCATTAAATCAGAACCCTTAAATAGACTGAAACACATATTCAATACATGGCAATAAAATCATCATATTATCACAATAAAAGCTAGAACATGGGGAACCACCAAATATGATACTATCAAAATAAAAACTATTGTACGGGAAACCAGTAATCATAATATTAATTATAGAAAATCAAAATAAATGTACAGACCATTTGGAGAGGACCACAGACTTATAACAACACTGTGTAAAAGAGTCAGTAACTTATAATAACTTTGTGTGATCATACCTATAACTCTTAGTTGATCTAAATGCTGATTCTGGTCTACAACACCTGCACATTTTTTTTTTGTTTGTTTGCATCTGTGTTTTACCAGTCATTAGTCTGCAATATGCTGTGTCCCTAAATACGCATTTAAGATGGCCACATATTCATCTCCTTATCTTAGTAAAAATAATGATACATTGAACACTTTCTCTCCTGCTATGGAAGATAAAATCTCCCCACCGGACACCATTCTCTCCCTTCCCTTCTACATGGGGTTCTCAACTGGCATTGCTATGGCCTAAGTTTAACTCAAAACTGGAGGAAATACAACACTCTATTTCTAATGTGCCTATTACGGTTTCCTTCAACACTGCTTGCTTGCTCGAGCTGAAGTAAAGACACAGCACGCACAAAGACTCTCTTTCAGAGGTCCAGTTACAACTGCAGACTTAAACACAACAAACTGTAATTTTTCAAGAAGGACTGATGATTTAGAGGACCGTTGTTGTAGGAATAACCTCTGTCTCCTTGGACTTCCTGAATCGGTCAAGCCAAATCAACTATTTTCTGACATAACTATGGCACTTCACTTGACATTTAACTTGAGCAACCAATACTCACTAAAAGTTAAAATATACAAAAACACAATATGTGCTGGCACTCAATTACGTAAGGTGCAGGTATTCGAGGTTTAACCCCACAACAACCTCCTTATCTCAATCATAAACAAATATGAATATGCGGTATTCATATTTGTTTATGATAAAAGTTAAAATAGGCTTTCAGGTCCTGAATTTTGCTGAGAAGATCACCAGGCCTACAGGAAAAATCATGACCTTAAATACCAAGACCATTAGATTCTTCTTTTTTAGGATTACTCCGCATTGCTCATCATGAGACAACAAGAGTTTACCCTCAATTTAGTTGATAAGATTTACTCTATAATGCTCTGTGAATATGAGGATAACATATAACCATAAGTCTTAGTCCTGGTACTCTCCTTAATGAGGCAAAGCAAGAACTTACTGAGTTGGCCATCATCTAGAACTCATCTAGATTTTGTTTTATCCTGGTCTGTAATATATGTCTCTTATATGTATTTAATAGTTTTATTTTAAGTTGTATTTCCAATTTTGTTTGTCTTACAGTTATTTATACACTTAAATACAAGGTTGGTTTCACTATTCTTGATATAATTGTATCCCTTTCTGCCTGTTCAGTTAATTCTTGCAGGCCTCATTTGCTGGTATCTGGAGGCGCTTTTTCCTACTATCCTTTGTTCCTTTGTTCTTAAGTTCATGGCTAGTGAAATCTTTGCAACTGATGACTTGTAACCATAATTATACATCTCTTTATTAACAAACAAACATCTTATTATTGAATGTTGCTGGCCTTAACTCCCTACTAAACAGTTAGTTTTAACACGTCTTCGTAGATTCAAACCCCTTGTTACCTTTTTCTAAATCTAAAAAAGCCGGCCCAGTTCTGGAACAGCATTCTTTGAACAGATGAAGCTAAGATCAACCTGTACCAGAATGATGGGAAGAAAAAAGTATGGAGAAAGTTTCCAATGGCTTATGATCCGAAGCATGCTGCATTATCCGTTAAATACGGTGGAGGTAACGTGATGGCATTTGTGTGCATGGCTTCCAGTGGCACTATGTCCCTAGTGTTTATGATGTGATAGAAGCAGCCAGATGCATTCCGAAGTGTATAGGAATATATTGTCTGTTCAGATTTAGGCAAATTTAGTGAAGTTGATTGGATGGCGCTTTACTTTACAGATGGTCAATGACCCAAACATACTACGAAAGCAACCCTTTTTTAAGGCAAAGAAGTGGACTGTTCTGCAAAGGCAGAGTTAGTCACTTGATCTCAACATGATCGAGCATGCATTTTACTTGCTGAAGAAAAGACTTAGGGCAGAAAGACCCATCAAAAAAGAAAAAAAAAAAAAGGAAACCCAGCGTTTGGTGATGTTCATGCATTCCAGACTTCAAGCAGTCATTATCTGCAAAGGATTCTAGACAAAGCATTAAAAATTAAAAACCCTTTTATGATTGTGTTAATTTGTCCAATTCATTTGAGCCCCTGAAATAAGGGGACTGTGTATGAAAATGGTTGCAATTCCTAAATGTTGAATTAAAGCTGAAAGTCTGCCCTTCAATTGCATTTCACTTGGTTCATTACAAATCAATTGTGGTGGCATTCAGAAAATTGTTGTCTCTGTTCAAATATTCCAGATCTAACTGTATATAGATCACACCTGTTAGATAAATTAAGTCAAGTTTGTATATTATGTTCAAAACTGGATAAAAACATGGATTTGGTGGACTCTTTATACCTCATTAAACTACCTAAAAGAATACTATAGTGTTAGTAATACAAACTTGTATTCATATAATGCTGGAGTAAATATTTAGGTGACCAGTCCCCTCTCTGTGACATTAAAAGGTAGTTAATTTACCATTTCTCCATGGCTGAGATAATCAGTCTTGATGATCTCAAGCAATCACACGCTTTTCCCAGGCTATTGCAAATGTGCAGCAAAACTTCAATCAGCATCCCCTCATAGAAATGCATTGACCCAAAGCCTCTCTATGGGGAGCGAACAGCTTTTATCTGAGAAGGCAGAATGTCATTGCTGAACCGGCAGGAACATGCTATAGACACCATAACCACTACATTAAGCAGTAGTGGTTCAGGTGACTGTAGTTTCCCTTCAATAAGGATTGAAAACTTATTTATAAAATTATTGCCTGAAGATTAAAACCCTTTTTACCAGGTATTTTGCATCCCCAGCACCTGCACCCCCTCTCCTCGCCCCTTCCCCCCCAAATGTGGGGGATCAGTAACATTATTTCTGTTTCTTTGTTTTTTCCGACAGCCAGATAAGGTTGTTTGCATGTGTGTATGCTACTATAGTGACAATGAATTCTTCTACAACTGGTAAATCTTTGCTCCTGAGTCTGGATGCTCAAACAGCTTTTGACATAATTTCTTGGCCTCATATGTTTTAGATATTGAAATACCATATTTTTATATATACCTATATAGTTTGCCCTCAACTGATTAATCTGTTAATGGCTTTAATCATTTGAATGCATTCCCTGTTCAGATGGGGAGAGGGGTCCATTAAGGTTGCTCACTATCCCCTATTCCTGTTAATCTTTCCATAGACATTTTAATCAATATAATTTGGGATGGCAAGAACTGAATGAATATCATGGCATTCTTCTCTACATATCTGACCTTAATACAGTTATCTAGCTATTTTCTATTTAAGTTTTTCTATCAAAACTGAACTCCTTATCCATTGAGAAGGAAAGGAAAACACAGACTAAGTGGTAATTATAAATTATATTATGTTTTTATTTTGTATAGGTATGAAAATAATTTTATATCTTTTGGTGAAAATAGTCCTTGTATATGAAAAATTTATGTCTGCAACTCAGATTAAAAATATGCAGTAATTCTTAAGGTATTAATCCTTCACTTATTGATACATTCATTTGCTGAAATTCAATCAAAAACTATTATCTCTTAAATACCTGTAGAATTTGCTTAGTACAGATAGAGAGGTTACCTAAAATTTTCCAAATGTTTCTTTGGATACTTGTAATATAGTTTTTTTATTGGTTTATTCTACAGCAAGATATAGTTATTATTATTATATATTTTTAATGCGTTTGCATATTGTCTAAATTAGTATTGATACTTTGTAGAAGCAGAAATGTGGTTTAGGCTTCTTTAATGCAGGAGATATTTTAATAGGATACCCTGTTGTGTTATGGGAAAGAGTATTAAATGTTAATGCAATATGTGTTATGTGTGATGGTAGTCACCATCACTGGAGGCTGAAGACGGACATTTTATGGAGGTCTCCAGATTACTCCTATGTTTTAGTCACCCTGTGCCCATTATAGGTACATGGTGTTTAATGTATTTTTGTTAGTTATTCTCCCCATCCCTCCCTCCCCCTTTCCTTGTTGTTTTCCCGAAAGGGCATTGTTCCATAGACCCATTTTGTCTGCTGAACAGTATTATATGTGTTTTAGGAGTTTTCTTGTACTGTGGGAAATAATTGTGTTAGCGTGTCTGTGTGTATAATAGATAAAACAGAAGAGAAGATAATTAGCCTATTATACAGTAACTATTGATAGCTATGGATCTTGATGTCAGGCAGGTAATTCAATTATGGACTCTTGGCCTAATTCTGTCCTAGACTTCAAGGAGTGACTTGTATTGTTTTGTTTGATGACCCCCTGTTTTGATTACTCCTATATAAACCTGTGGTTCACTCAATAAAACCAGTTCTACTCCAGCCTTCACTAAGTCTCGCTAGTGTTTGGGTGAGACAGCTATACAGCTATACACTCGACCGGGGAGCCTGATCACTTTGGGGCTATAGCCCGATACCCTGCTCTAGGGTGGAAAAACTCTGGATAGACTACAGTCAAGCTGCGGTGACTGTGTGCTGATGGGCTCTAGGTAGGAAGCATACTTGACAGAGGTACCCAGTCAGGGTACCAGGCATTCCGTCACATTATGTTTAGTTAATGCATACATTCATGATAAATTCTTAGAGACAGTAATAATTTGCTCATTATCCAGGTTCTCATCATGTACTATGGATATTATAATCTAAAGTATGTTTGAGCCACATTTCTTTGTTACATTTTCTATGATCACTGATTACTTTAGTATAGATTGTTGTCACAATAAATTATATTTTTAAGTAAAACAGTTATTATATGTTATATTTGATGTATATGTTGAACTACAAGAATTTAGGATCAGAGATGAAATAGTAGGTATCTTTTTTAAATCATAATTGCATGCATGGCCCTAATAAAATTTTTAACATTAATAAAATTGTAAATTTTTCATTATTTTCACAAAATATTATTTGTGATATTTTGTCCCACAATTATCCCTATAGCACAAGATCCCTTTGTTTGGCCCTATTGAAGTTTATTATGTCACTTAGTCAAAATATTCAGCTTTAGACGTTGGTCCACATCCCACATGGCATTTTCAGACTCTCACATAAAATATCTGGGAGATTTAACCCCCAACTACCAAGTTATATTTGCTTAATATTTTTCAGATGATCCAGCATAATGCCACTTAAGTTAGAGTGACAGGGTTAGTGGGGTTAGTGTGATAGAGTGATAGGAATGTGATAATAGGTGTGTGTCAGGGAGAGGGGTATCATGTGACTGTGTCAGAAGTGTCACAAGGGGACCACGATAGTAGGTAGGAAGGCTGTGTTAAACACAGTCTCCCCACACAGACTAACATTGCATTTAATGTTTTTTACTTTGCCCCCTCCTGCTTACTTACTGTGCAGGCACAGGGCAATAATTCCTCCTATGATGGTCCGGTGGGCTACTGGTTCACTCCCTAGTGGTCCAATGTGTTGCTGTGGCAGCTGCACTCCCTTGCAGTTTGGGCGCTCTGTGATGACATCAGAGTGCAGGCTGGGAACCAAGCGTCTGTGCTTTGACATTCACAGTGCGCCGGAATCGCAAAGGAAGGGTGCCTGCCCCAGCAACACACTGGACTCCCAGGGAGGCCATTTCTAAGAGCAGGGATATCTTTTGATCTTCCTGCTGGCTCCAGGAAGCAGACCTGATTATGGCATCTGTCTCTGGCGGCAGAGCTTGGAGCCCCTCTTCACATGGGCAGCCCCCTTACAACTCGCGGCGACTATTAAATCAGTGTTTGTGTCATTGTGTGTATGTGTATCTGTATGTGTGTAAGTGTATGTGATCAGTGCTCTCTCGCTGCAAATGAATTAATTAATAGGCAAATTAATAGGAGAATGTGGGGCTCAGGCTCGCACTGTCATGGTTGTCACCCCCTGATGGCGGCCCTGTTTAGGGTCAAAGTCCCTCCCCAACAGAGGATAGCAGAAGGCCTTTCTTATACATCGCTTTGCTTGGCTGACAGTCTTCCGTGTGGTGTGGACTGTGTAGTGAGGTCAAAGCCTGGGTGGGCCAACTTTATGAGCCATTGTCTGTTTAGGGTTTTCACCCCAAAGGGACCCTCCTGCTCTCCGCTTCATGCTGCACTCGGCTTGCTCTCTATTTACAGGTGATGCTGCTGTCTGCTACTCTAGTGCCACCTAAAAGCATGTGAAAATCTCCTCAAGATGCACTAGAGGACTCTCAATGTGGCCACGCCGATCTCAACATGACCAACTCAGACCCTGCACCTCCAGAGCTACGATGGTCGCCACTTTGAGAGGTGTGATTGTTACCAGTATTAATAGGTATCTGAAGCTTCAATCGCTGTGCAGGTCGGTTCAGTGGTGACCAGGATAATCCAACCAGTCCAGGGGGTCGGGGAGGGGGATTTTGGAGGATTGTGCTACTGCATGGCTCAAGGACTAATGAAGAAACAGGCAATCTTTCCCTACCTTAGTTGCATGCAGGCTACACCATTTAGCTGGGGGCCCCTGGTGGTTAAAGGAGTCAAATAAGGGATTGGTATGTCGTATAGAGTTCCCTTGGTGCAGGTAGCACCCTGTGGTGAACTTTGCTGCCCAATAGCCAGGGATATCCCCGTAAAAAAAAACGGCAGGGGAACAGGAGCTCATGCAGTATGCGTCTTGTCTGCTTGAAGGTCCGGCTCCACCCCCTTATAAAGCATTTTAATTCCCTCATTGGTACCCTTTGCAGACTTTTTGTGGGGGGACATCTATTTTATAACAGGTTTTCGTGGAGTTTTTTGGAACCAGCCCTGTTAATATTCATATTGTTATTAAAGTGAAATGTTAATTTTGTTCATGTATGTAACATAAGAACTTGAAAATACATTTGCTCTAGTTTTATTTTTAGTTACATATTTGTCGTGTCAGATACATCTTAACTGCCCTTATTTGTCATGTCGGATACATCTTAACTGCCCTTATAAAAAAATAAATAAA